TGGGCGAGACATTGGCTGAAGTTTTTAAATAAATAATACAATATAATAAATGTTCAACTTCGTTATTGGTTTGGTTTAGTACGAAGTAGCAAAAAGGGGAAGAATTGGTTAATATCAGAATACTTCTTCAGACGTGAGGATTTAGCTGATGATATGTTAGGAAGAAAGGGAAAAAGATGTTTATATATATTTGAAAATGTACGACGGGGAAGAATGGAAGACTGATTACAACCTAATTGTGAGTAAGTTGTAAGGATTCTGAATCGTCCATGCGACAATTTACAAATTTAAAATTCTACAAGTTCAAGACAAATTGGATTTCTTACCAAAAACTTCATATTGATGGTTGTTGTGGTACGGTTAATGTGCGTATGATTAAATAAAAATTGTAGTCACATATTTATACTAAACTTACCTCGTTTATTTTATCTTTTGAAAAGGTTAATAGTAAGAAAATTTACAAATTATCAGAAATTAATTTAAGGCGCCTCATTGAGATTTCTTTTAAAACTAAAACAGATCANGTAGATATAGCTTTCATTCATTCTTAAAACGATTAAAATCATTTTGTAGATGACAAATGACTAGAAGGCGCTTGAATCATTTATCTCTTTTACATAATAACAAAAAAAACTTCGTATTTATTACAGCACGTTTTAAATATATTAAAATTTTAACAAGAAAATACAAAAAACTGACTCATTTGAGAATTACCCTCGATTTAGTCATAAATAGAACATTAAATTTAATTTTATTATGTAAAAGTATATATCTTTTTACATTAAACATCCCAATTCAAGCAAGCAAGACTAAGACCAATGCCAAGACCAAGACCGAGACTATATTAGCAAGACTAAAACCAAGACCGAATAAGCAAAACCAATACAAATACAGTTTTGGTATTGGTCTTTCTTTACTCATCACTAGTAAATTCGGACGAAAAAGATTCGTATCAACTCTGAAGAATAAACTGTAAATTCTGCCGGTTTGTGCTCAGGTTTTCCTTTTATTTCAATAAGTAATATTTAAAGCAGTATGTAAATGGTAAGTGTTTCCTCCAATAAACATACAAAAGCAGGTTTTTCCGGCCGAATTTACATACTGACCTAATCAATTCTTCTACCTGCACCAAGTGTTACAATTGTGAGAAAACCGTACGAAGTTGCAGTGCGAAGCCGGCCCTGTGCGTGAATTGGCAATATATTCCGATAACCACCATACAACTACATCGATAAAAAATGTAAACGGTGACGGTTGTGGAAACTAATAAAGTAAATATCAACATCTTACTACTACTAAGAATAAGTGATGTTTCACTAACTTTATACATTTTAGGTACTTTTTACCATTTTTTTAGGGCAAAGGTGAGAATCCATCGTTCAACTATCCGCAGACGGTTTTTGGTGGTACCAAACTTCTGCTGTTTGAATCAAATTGATCGAAAAGTTTTGTATCTCATAATGACATTATCTGCAATTTCCTACTGCCCATACTGTGACTTGGATATAAAAGGGTTAATAACAATACTTTGCTGTTTTGAGTAAACAATTGAACTAGGTTTTTTCATTTTTTTTTTCATATGCTAAAACATCCAATGTCAAATTTAAGCAATAGGCGATCCATAAATGGAAATTGTACCCAATGTCATTATAAATTCATTCACATATCAGCTTAAGCTAAAGGGCTCAAGTTTAAAAAAATTTTAAATCTTTGAAAAATTAAAAATAGTATCATATTCTGTTCAAACAGAGTCGAAGTTAAGTAAAGCTTGAATTCTATTTAAGCTGCAATTAAAAGCATTTCTGACAAAAACATCAACTGCAATTTTCTCAAATGTGAAGATTTTGACACTGACCCTTTTAACTTCAAGCTATATAGCATAATGTTAGCAATGAAATACTTATAAATATTATTAGTGAAGCATAAGAATCTACAAAAAGCTACTGTATCGTTAACACAATAATTAATAGGAAATACTCTGGCAGACAGCATTATCTTTATTTGTCGTTTAATGATGCCTGGCAGGTAATTAATTTTAATAGTACTAAAGGTAGCATGCAATATAGATATGACACAAATGAGTACATTAAAGAAAAGCCTTTAAATGAGAAGATAATTATTTGATGCCAACAACATAGATATAGTGCTTAAATATGAATTTTTTTTTCAATGCAAAAGTAAAAACTATTTTCAGGTAAAAAAAACTTTAAACACCGACGAAATACAACAAATAACTATTGAGAAGTTATTTTACTCGTAAATGACATTTGAAGGAATGTTAAATTCAGAAAGATATAATTAAATCAAAAGACTATTTTGTTGCATGTGAGATTTTAGCATATTTCAAAATTTTTGTGGCATATACATTCTCGTATAAAAAATCACATATATTTGGTTCAGATTGTAGAAACGATTACTTAATTTCTTAACTAAATGTAGATCATTTGGATTTCCAATTTGTTTTCTAATTAACAAGAATGTTCTTATCGCTGATGAAGCTGTTAGAAGATAAAAATTCTTACAATTTTTCAGTATAAAAGAGGCATTTTATTCTCAAGAAATCAGTTCACTTCGATCAACAATATTATCACAAAAATGAAGACTTTGGTAAGTTTCTTTAACATTTGCGTTATTTTTTGATAATTGGCTTAATTCAAAAGCGTTTATAATTAACAATAATTACAACATTTCACGGAGGAGAGTTGATGAAGCATGTTTTAAAAAATAAATACAGAAAGGGATGTAATAAATATATTAAGCAAACTCGATAATTGTTTCGATGAAGTCTTTGTTTTGTATACTTTTTTTAGTTAAAAAGCACATAAATCTGAATATATATATAATATTAAACTTTTGTTTTCACTTCGGGTATTTCCCTAGATTCTTTTCGCCTGTTTGGTAGTCCTAGTGGTCTGTGCTCCTGTCGAGGACGATGGATCATATAAAGGAGAAGGCTTAGATGATGCTCAGTACAAAAACGAAGGACTTGATGATTCTCTTTACAAGAACGAAGGACTTGATGAAGCTAGATACAAAAGACAATTGGTGGCATACTCATATCCATATGTTACACCATATCGTGGACCAATTATTATTAATATTCGTCCTCATTCTCACGGACGATACTACGTCGCGTAATAACGCGATGCAATGGCTTGGAATTTATAATTTGTGATATATCAACAAATATGCCGAAATTGTTTTAAAATAAATAAAAGTTATCCACTGTTTGCATTCACCTTTCGTGTTTTATATTTCTATTGACAAATTTATGTGGTGCTATGAAAATTGAAATATGACAAATTTATGATCGAACAATCACAAGGGAAGCTAATAAAATTTGACTTTTACTACATAAATCAACCGACATAGTTTTAAAGATGATAGATCTTCAGTGCGACGAAAGTTAATAGAGGCTGCAAAAAGTTTTTGATTCTGAAAATAATGGAATGTAAATAGAAACACAGCTTTATTCGCTATTTCTTTAAGATTACGAATTACAAAACAAACGGAGTTTATACAAAAATCTTATTTTAAAAATTACCATGTTCGTCTCAAAAACGAAGCAATTTTTGAGATTCTTACAGTGGTACTTTTTTAGAAAACTTGAAGATATTTTATTTAATTTTATTTTCACCACAGTTTTAGTGTTGAACATTATTAAAAAACGAAGTAGAATATTTTAAAAAACTGTAGTTTTTTTGTTCATTAAATCGTCTATGAGAAGGTTAGAAGCGTTCGAAATATGGTGTTATAGAAAAATTACGAGAAGACCGTAAATAGAGAAGATCAGAAATGATCAGGTATTGGAAAGAATCGGAGAACAACGGACTCTATGAAAGTCAATGAGAAATGGACGAGATAGGAGGTTGATAGGAGACCTTCTCAGACTTGCGGTGCTAGTTAGATATATATTAGAAGCAGAAACAGGAGTTAAGAGGAATAGAGATAGACCTAGACTAGATTACTGTTCACAAATAGATAAGGATGTGGGATGTTCTAGTTCGTCTTTTATGAATCTTTCCCTATTCATTAGCTTACTTGGTTTTAGTATAAAACAATTAATTTTCAAGGATTACACTAAGTTTGTACTTTTTTACTTCAGTGTTTGTTAACGGAACTTTCCAGGTTTCTGTAGTTTTTGACATATGAATTCGGATTTGTCAATCATAAGTAATACTATTCATTGCTTCAAATCATTTATACCTGTACTGTAGGAGTTATTAATTTAATATTAAGTGTTTTGAAATAAATCTGTAGATAGAGGATCTAATCTATTGTATAACTGTGAAATGTATTTAAACTATTTACTATTACTACCGTATTTATATAATTTATGACTAGCCTTCGCATTATTGAGTAGTCATATTCCTCATTCTTTCTTCATTAAAACCATCGAGCCAAAGCTCCTTTTGGTAACAGGGTAAATAAATAAAACCAAAGAAAACACAAAAGGATTTCTCAACAAATTAACTAAAATACCTTTTATTCATGAAGTTGCATCTTTTAATGTATGAGGTTAAACATCCCCTTTTGTAGTTTTCCTGGGTGATCTTTCATCAAGCATGCACCAACAACTACATTTGCCCTTTTAGACATATTCTAGAAGCAAAATTGCATGGCGTAAACTTGTTTGAATAATTTAATTTTGTTTTTCATATTGTATCAAAATAAATTGGTTTCTGTGAATGCTTAAAAAACGTAAACTAGCCTAAGTATAATTATAAATCCATGAATATTCTAATAACACATATAAGATTTCTTTTAATATCCAGCTATAGGTATAGTACGTCGCTACGTGTTGATATTTTTGCTGTTAATTGAAGAATCTCAAATGCTAGACGATATCGTTACTAAAGAATCCACTAAATTAAATTAATGAGAACAGTTAAAATTCTTAGTCAGAGATCGAGGTTTGTATGTATAAAAACTCTGATCAGAAGCGAATATTTTGTATTTGTCTTTAGTTAATTTTTTAATATACATTGTTGAGTATTGTTTTATATGTTGACCAAGAGACTGCTCAAAAGATTTGGAATGGAGAGTTGTATGGGTAAGAAATTATTATTCAATAATCCTCCTCCGTACACACTTCCTCCTCCCCATGGTATAGCGGAACTTCCAAGAAGAGATGAACCACCAAGAAGCGAACCACCAAGGAGATGTGAACCGCCAAGAAGAGGTAAACCTCCAAGAAGGTTACCTCCGGACCTAAGTTGCGGTCCTACCTCGTAGGGAACGTCGCTATATAGTTGAGTACCATCGGCGGCTGTTGTTGGTACAAGAGGATATGTGGTAATTGCAGCTCCCTGGGCAGCCGCAAAAATACCGAAAAATGCAAAGGCGATCTAGAAAGTAAATAAAAATAGTTACAGAACAATTGAAGATGCAGAAAATATATAAAATAAAGGACATGCAGGTGTGTATAAATGAATGTCTCTCCCGACACAAGATGACTAGAAACCATCAGGAACCAGTTCCTTCTCTTCGATTGAGGTACTGCATTCTTGTAACAATCTACCGAGCGGCATGGCCTAGAGATTTAGACTATTGCTTAGCATTCGGGAGGACGCCGGTTCGATTCCGGGTCCGCCTGCCTTGGTCCAAGTTTTTCTGTGGTTTCCTTGGATCACTTAGGTAAATGCTAGGACAGTAATATTCCACAGATAATCTTTCATTCTCTTTTGTCTTCATTTCGTCCGTCTCTTCCGCCCACCAGCATTACTGGCTGGTGGGAATGAAATACCCAAAAGTTTTTTAGTTTCACACCGATCGGGATGGTCTAGAGGTTTAGATTGGATTGCTGGTTTGTCTGTCCTGGTTCAACGTTTTTTATGGTTTTTCGTTCACTCTCTTTTGTCTTCATTCTGCCTTCAATTCATTCGTCATTCTCGTCCCAAGTATCACCCACCCTTTCCCAATATTCCTAAAAAGAGGCCGAAGAAGGCTCTCCGCTCTACTCTTCAGAGTAGACCACACGCATTAGCAGCTGGTGGGAATGAAACATCCAAAAGTTTTCTTTTTCATTTCAAGTCTCTAGGGACTTATTATCCAGTAGGCTATTACTTTGAAATTGTACATGAAAAATAGCAAGAGTTTCTAAGTTTGTGAAACAAGATATACTCAGATATGCCTCATGATAGTCATAATAAGTTTTAAATTAAAGTATACTTCTTAATAGTAATTATAGAGCCAAACAATGCGGTCTAGGAAAGGTAAAGAAAATGTATTAATAATGGGAAATTCTGTGAAAAATTGGAAATATTTAGATGGATGGATAATTAACTGTTTTCCTTATATACTTTAACCTATAGGTGGTGCTCATAGAAAAAGTGAAACTAAATGGACTAAACACAGAAACAAAACCTCCCTTATGCTCTAACTACATATACACACATTATATAAAGTATAAGAAATGTTTATGGCTTACCAATAATTTCATGATGTTTTACAAATCTTTAAACGTACCCGTACAAGTATGATCTTTTCAAATAAGAAAACGCTTTTATAGGTAGTTTCTCCGTATCCCCAGTCTCTTTTGGTACTTTATCATTTTGACTGTTATTAAAATACAATAATGATATTATTGAAGAAGTGATGATATTGTAATTAGTTTAACGATATCAGTTTCATATGACATTTTACGTAACAACAATACCAGTATTAAAATAATGGCTCGATAGTATTATCATCACTATCGTTATTTTGTGTTATTGATCTTGTTGTGTAAATGTCTGGTTTTGTAAAAAGAATACCTCTAAAGCTGATATTAACAACTTACTTTTTATTAATAACGTTCGTAGGAATATCTCAGAAAGCGAAATTAAATTTGTCGATTTTAACTTGATTTGTTTTTTATATCTTTGTATTTACTTTACTTTACATATAACTTCACTGGACAATCTCGATAAGAAAGGTAATATTAAAATCTGTGTGAAATAAATGTTTGCTATCTATTTAGGGGTTAGTTAGGGGTTTATATTTCTATCTCCCTTAATTTAATGGACGGTCTTTTTGACGAAATAGGTATTTAATAACCATTTTTATATGAGATATTAAATGAAAAATAGCTTATTGTTATTAGCTCTTTAATGTTAAATACGAATATTTAGCAAAATATAATAATAAAATAACATATTTAATATTTTGTTCCAGTTTCCGCAGACTGTTTACATGAAGTTTTTCTATTAATTATTTATTTCTGTTCCTTAATTGTCATTTACATTTAGATTCCCTAGAAGATTCTACAACAAAAAGTTTCATATTTTTAAATTTTCTCCTAATTGTGGAGTGTGCAAAATTAAAGCCAATCCCGATGTAATAAAGTTTTTATTTTTAAGTGTAAGTCTTTTACAAAATACAAACTTTATTACCCTTCTATTGATTTTGTACTCTGTAACAAAACAATACTTTTTCTAATAACCTATGCAATTTATTAAAAATAAACGAAAAGTTTATGAAAAGTATTAACCAAAATGTTTTTAACTTTAACAGTAGGAAAAGAGTAGATATTAGAATTTAAAGATAGCAAGCGATACATTCACTTACGATTAGACAACCCAATTTGCAAAATACAATAATTATATGCTAATTTTACAAAATAAATAATAGTAAATCTTTAACACATATGCTTTTGAGCCGGTAATTAATTAAATAACTGAACCAATTATATTTGATAAACCCCGCCGCCAGTTTGGAATTCAGTTTGTGACTATAATAAGGGTCATATAACACTAAATTGCAAATTAATTCTAACATATATACGTACTACATATGTAAATGTGTGTCGCTGCTGACTTTTGTACAGGCCTCTCTAAACATAAGCTCTACAACTTTTCTGCAGAAAGTTTTTTCGTAAACTACATTGCAAAATTAATCTTCATGAAAAGCCCTTTTGTAACAACGGAATAATATACAGCTTATATTTACCCTGAAGATTTATTCTAAATATTGGTAAAAGAATTTTTGAAATCGAATGAGTAGTTTCGGAAATTACTTCTGTGAACTAAACTTACAAACTGTACCTTTTTATAATACAGTAGAACCTCAATAACTCGAACATCAATAGAGTTTTCGACTTATGGAGGATTTTGACTTGATTTTAATTGGACGTGTGGAGGTTAAGATTTATTCTTATTGTATACTCCTAAAATGTTTTCTAAGAAACGATGGTGTATTTACATTGCCCGCAAATCCTTAAAGTCGATAACTTATTTTTCTTCGAACTATAGACATACTATACAATGTAATAAGTTTCAAATTATCGAGTTGTAATGGTTGTAAAATAAAACATTGTTATGTTCGAGATACAGAGGTCCAATTTAATTTTTCGAGTTATAGAGGGAAAATATGTATCAAGATGGTTTGCAAGGACTCAGATTTCAAGTAATGAAGGGAAGGACACAAAACATTTTTTCGACTTCTGGAGGTTTTTGATTTATCGAGGTTCGATTTAAAGAGGTTCAACTGTATAAGAGAATTTCTATAATGATGTTTTTTGCAAACATGTTTCATCATCAAATTTTATTTGGTCAGAAATATTTCCAAATGACATCAAACAGTAATATTAATCTCCATATTTAAATTTGTCTTTAAACACGATTGAGTTACGCTTAATCTTCTTTGTATCTCTTGATATATATTATAGTGTAATATGACTCTCATGATTGCAAATTAATTAGAATGAGTAGTTTTTATTCCGCTACTAAAATATTTTACTTGTCCGTTAATTATTACTGTTAGTATTAATCGAAGGCCAATTACATTAAGCAAATGGTATAAAACTATGTAAGGCACCGCCCTATTTTTTATTTTTTATTTTATAACATACAAATGTAGCCTTGTCAAATATTTTACGAAGTGTCAGAAATGAAATAACGAAGACATTCTGGAGGCAATCAATCTCTTCGGAAACTATGGGTGTTGTCTTTTGCCATTGGATGCCTATCTCTTAACAAAAATTGAAACAGAGAAAGAATTTAAACCTTCAATTCTGCTTCTGCTATAATGCATAGTAAAATGTATTTTAACTTATAAAAAAAATATTAATTGTCTCGTCACATGGTAGATTCATCGGTAAAAATGTAACAAAATGTTTGAACTATTAATAAAACTAAAGCTAAGCGTTTACTAAAGATTTAACAGTAATAATTCTTTACATCAAATTGGTCGATTAAAATTAAGTTTAATTTATTTAATCTATCACAAATTTCTTATAAATTTGATTTCAAATAAAATCGACAGTAAACAAATTAAGTTGGGTTTCACATATATAATAATTAGAAAATTCCAACGATTCTTTCAACTTTTCGATCGTTGTCAAAGAGAACCTACACAACTAAATTAAAGTGTTAGATGTCGTCATTAGTTTACAAGATCCTAAGGGCGAATCTCTCTTTCGGATACATTTAATTAATCTCTTCAAGGTTTACATGTAGGTTTCACAGGTCACGTCTTGTGGTACTGTGCATTGCGAACTGAAAAGAATTTCACTTTCATACCGAAATTAAAAAGTTAAGATTAACTTTTTTTTATGTATAGATACATTACAGAAATATTAACATATGTATTTTTGCTTGTTTACAAATATATAAAAAATAGGAGTGTTAATAGAAACATTTGTTTACAATGGATACATGTAAATTTGTATTATTATTATTCCGGAAACAAAATTGCAAAAAGAAAATATCGAATTAATGCTATTATGAATAGCTCTTTTTGTGAAGAACTTATAGCTTTAATAAAAGTGTACTTACATATAATACGCAAATTAGGTATATATATATACAGGGTGTTTCTGAAATAAGTAGCAAGCATGCAGGAGGTGATAAAGCACTATAAAACAAGAAAATTAAGTAAATGTTTAGTGATATAAAACACCACCGTTTTCGAGAACAGCTTAATTGAAAGTACAGTCAAGGGCTAGTCCGCTTCTGGTACGATTCCTCACGGATCAATACACAGTGTGTCCCAAAAATAACCAAACTTTTTCGATATAGAATAAAATACACATTATCTATATTATCTTTGAAAGTTGTTATTTATTCAAAATAGGTTCCATTAGACTCAATACAACATTTGGAACGATCAACCAGCGCATGCATAGATTTTTTTATGTCATTCATAGGAATGTTCTTCAGCATCTCGGTTACGCCTGCTTGAATGGCTGGGATATCATCATAAAATGCTCCTTTCATCTTGGTTTTCATTTTTGGAAATAGAAAATAGTCACATGGTGATAGATCAGGCGAATACGGAGGGTGGTTGATGAGAGAAATCCGTTTTTTCATCAAAAATTCGTTAACTTTTTTGTTCTTGTGAGGTGGTGCATTATCGTGCAATAAAAACAGCTGCTTTGCTGCCGGATATTCAAGTCTAACACGACAAATTCTTTTCCACAAACGATGTAAAACGCCTAAATAATATTCTCCATTAACAGTTCCACCTTCTGGAACAAATTCTTTGTGGACAATACCCTTCGAATCATAAAAAGTAATTGACTTGATTCGAGACTTCTGAAAACGCAATCTTTTTGGTTTTAGCTAGCCTTTGGACTTCCATTCAGCAGATTGACGCTTAGTTTCAGGGTCATATTTAAAGCACCGTGACTCATCACCAGTTATGTTCGAATCAAGAAAGTCTGGATCGTTTTCAGCAGTTTTAACAATGTCTTTGCAATACTCCCCACGAGCGATTTTTTGGTCTTCATTTAATTCGTATGGAACGAAACGCGCACAGACCTTTCTTTTACCCAAATCTTCAGTTAAAATTCAAATTTGCACCGATACCAATGATTTCACGGACTTTTTCCAATAATTCAGCACGATTACAGGCTTCTGGACGACTTGGCCTTAGGTCCTCAATTAAATCCTCACGACCATTTTTAAATCGTGTAAACCACGTATAAACTTGAGTACGACTCATACAATCATCACCATAAACTTTTTTTCATTATTTCGTATGTCTCAGCGAATTTTTTTTTTCAAGTTTACGACAAAATTTTATATTTGCTGTTTGTTCTTTTGTTTTTGTTTTGTAACATTAATTAGCATACTTTTTCTATTATTGAAATGGCTGTAACTTTGCAATAGATGGCACTGCATGTTGTATGATTTAAATATAAAGTTTGGTTATTTTTGGAACACATTGTGTACTGTATACCATCAGCTATGAACATACTAGTTGTTTAATTAATTGTTATCTCAATGGACGTCTGAAGATTATTATGTGTAGTAGCGTAGTAGTAGTAAGCTGCTGATATTTACTTTATTAGTTTTTCCACAACCGTCACTGTTTACATTTTTCGTTGATGTAGTTGTTTAATTGTTATCGCAATTTCTCTACACGTTACCAATTCACGCCCGGGGCCGGCTTCAGATTGCAATTTTGTCTGTTTTTTTAAAAATTCTATTGCATCTAATTAACATTGTCCAAACCTTGCTACTTATTTTATAAACACTCTCTATAGCCACAATATCCGTTGTTGTAAGTAGTCTAATAGTTAAATTACTGTGAATGCATTTTTCGCAACGAAGGCTTAAATATAGGGCTGCAGCAACCCTCGTTATGGTCATTATGGATATTGTGGCATTAAGATGTAGTGTTTCTTGAAGTTCTTATTTCTCTAAAATGCTTAATTTTTTTGCTGTTACTATACGCTATTAAATTATTAATTAATTTTTATTTAAATTAATATTTATTTTAAAT